TTTTTTTTTTTTTTTTTTGGTTGTGGTTGTCATTGTTTGGCAGGCCTGGGCTGGACTGGAACCCGCCTACTCTGGCATATGTGGCTGGTGCCTTAGCCACTTGAGCTATAGGCGCCACCCGAGTTCATAGTGTTATTATCAGAGTTTTGTGGTTTGGTTATTCTGTTCCCTAGAGCCCACCCCCACCTTCATCCAGTTGGTATGTTCTACTGCTGTCTGGGGATAACATAACTGCTATCATAGCTGCTTTTACAAATCCATAGAGCTGGGTACCCAAGAAGTACTCGTGATACTTTGGCTGAACAAATTGTCACAGCTCCCAGAAGGAAATTATCACGAAGCTCCTTACCCCTCTCATATACAGGCACAGTTTCTTTATGTGTATTCCCGTTCAGCTGTTCTTGCAGACCCCGGTATGTATTCCAAAATTCTTCATCCTGGGAAATGCCCACTGGTTGGGATGCTGCTGGCTTCGGCTTGAAGCCTGGGGCCTCTGCTGTTTCTGCCAAGAGGACTGTCTCCTCTCCCAGCTCATGGACTGCAACCTAGAAATAATCCCCATCCTCATTACCACAGAACTTTTTTGGTTTGGGGGGAATGGGGCGGTGGAGATACAGGGAGGAAAACGTATACAGCCCAGAAGTGAGAAACTAAAGGAAATGCAAAGGACCTTAAAGAGGTATTGGGACATCAATGTTTCACAAGCAATTATCCACATCTGAAAAGGCAGGGTAAAGGATAAAAGCTGTGGCTACTGCCAATCCTCCAACACAAAAGCCTCTACACTGCACACAGTGCAGCTCAAGCAACTAGCAGGGTTGGGGGCAGACTGCCTATTCTCATACTGCTTTATCCGGCCTTTTCTCTTGACTTAGATCCCACATTAGTTGTTTTTTGTACTTTTAAGTTTTCTCCAAAAATTATTTTTAAAAAGTTTTCCTCTCAGCCACTATTTTCCCTATAGCCAAGGAAAGTTCTACAGAGAATGAGAATAGAATAGAGAAAAAAGGGTAAGAGTGGCTCCAACCTACCTCCAAATGATTTTGACACCAAACTTTATATCCTGCCCTGTATTCTTCCTAACAGGCCTGATGCCAGGTGTGATGCCACCTGACCAAAGGCATACCCTCACTCGCTATTTGTCAGTAGAGCCAAGGACCAACCACCAAGGGAGGGCAGCAGAGGCTCTTGTCTACTGTAGGGAGGATACTATCCCTCGATGTCCTTCTTCTCCTTGGATTCTGTTGTAATTTTCCTTTTCCAAATCTTTGTTTCCCTTTTTCCTTCTACTTTTTCTTTTCCTTTGCAGTCTTCCCCTAGTTGTTTTATTTCTTTCATTTTAAATGTCCTTGCTCTCCTTTGGTCTCTTAAGTAGTCTCCCTTTTTCGGATCTGTCCTCTCCTTCCTGATTCTTTATAGTCTTTTAATTCTGTTTGTTAAGAACTCAAGTCTTGTCTCCTTGGACAAACCAGACTCCAATAAGGATAAAAAGCAACTCTGGCTCCAAAGAGGACAAATAACAATTCTCTAAAGCCAGGGAAGTCTACTGCAATTTCTGAAACCTATGGACTGACTTTCCTGTGGGATTGTGGTTTTGAGTCCCACCTTAACAGTTCTAAAGAAACAAAAGAACAGTCACCTAATCCATCTCATTTCTCAATTAACTGCCCCCACACCCATTATATATCCACCTTCATCTTATTTCACAATATATGCCAGGAATCTTTCTTCTCACCCCATTCCTTGTTTGGCCAGATTCCAAATGTTCTACCAGAGCCACAGCATCCTCAATGCTCTGTGGATGGTGCTTCTGTATCCAGGTCTGTGTTTCCCTGGGAAGAATAATCAAAAACTGCTCTAACACCAGCAGTTCTAATATCTGCTCTTTTGAGTGGATCTCTGGCCTCAGCCAAAGATGGCATAGTTCTTGAAGTTGGCTGACAGCCTCCCGGGGTCCAGCTGCTTCATGATAGTGGAAGTTCCGGAAGTGCCAGCAAGGACTCTTGGGACTGAGACTGTCTATTTGTACAGATTTTTTCCTTGGACTGGAGTTCCCTCTCACATGTCCCTTGGTCTCCCACAGAGCCTTGATCTGAGGGTCCAAATATTCAGCCACCTTCAGATCTATCATCATCTTTAAGCTGAAGGAAGTTTCGCTCCTGTGTCAGACACCCAACTGGTGCCACCTTTTTAACAATTGACGTCCTGCTTGGTCTGGTATCAAAAAAATAAAATTTTCTTCCTATAGGGAAAAAAAGGAACATGTATCAATGACAAAGTCATGTGAACTTTATTACTGGCTACTTGCTAGACAAAAATGAACAGAAAAGGTCCTATCCTGCCTTCCC